CCATCATCAACATGGATTTTTATCCTGACATTCCTGGAGTGGAGTATATTAGGAACTGTGGATGCCGCACGGTTCAGTGAAGTCAAGAGCAAAACATCCCAGTTGCCTCTTTCTGTTCCTCTTTACTTTGGTTAGGACAGTGGGCTCAGACTTGATTCTCAATTCAAGGCTGTCTTAAATGCTGTGTGTGGGTTATCACAGTGCTTGTCCAAATATTTCTTGTCTCCCTTACATAACTTTTGTCTCCTTACAGAGAAGAAGGTCTGCAGAGGATGAACTGATGATGAGGGATTACCTGCAAGAAGGAGATTTGATCAGTGTATCCTTTTTACTGAATAATAGAGTTCTTGGGGCAGTTTCCTTGATGGGACATTCCTGGAGAGATGTGACACTGCTCAGTAAATCGTGGGCCTGGGTGCTTCATTTTCCTGCCCACTTTAGATGGACAGCACATGGTGTCTGCAAGATACAATTTCCCAGAGCTGTTGTTTGCCAGTTATGCCTGATTGTCTATGTAGGGAATAGAGTCTTTTCAGATTTTAAAATTAACTCACTCCTGATCAAAGGAGCTTTTGATCAATGAGAAGAAGGTTATGAAAAAACTGCTAATTTAAGAAATGCCTAAATAATATTGAAGTCTGTTCATTTTAAAGAGAGGACAGTTTTCTATTTATTTGCAAACTGACTTTAATTTATTTTCTTATCAGTCCCAGCTGTGACCTTCCTGCAGAGGAGAAGTCTCCCATTAATGCTCATGGCTAGTGAATGACACTAGCTTTCTGTTGCCATTTGCCTCTCTGTCTCTTGTTGTGATCACTAATGTGAAACCACATTATTGGGGATTGGGAAGAGAGAGAGAAATTGTGGAATTATTAAAAAGATTTCAACACAAGTGAAAGTGACTTCCATCAGTGAATATTGTATGGCTGAACAATCATGGTGTCATTTGAATCCTTCAATTCAGCTAAATTATGGTCTAATCAGCACCTTGACTTCATTTACCTGTCTTTAGATACCAAATTCTTTTAATTTCTTTGCATATTGTTGACTCTCCTTATCACATGTTCAGGCAGAGGTACAGGCTGTGTTTGCAGATGGTGCTCTGTCCTTGCACACCAGGAGTCTGAAGTATGGCAAGGTAATACAACTTCTGGTGATATTTCTTTTTCAATTTTGAAGAAAAAAAAGCATGATATTTAAAAGCTTTTATTTACATAGCCCGTATTAACACCCTTTTCGAGGTGCTTCACTGGAGTAATATGGAGATATTAGGGCAGTGATCTGAAGCTTTGTCAAAAAAGGATTTAAATAGGGAGAGAGATCTTGGGAAGTAATTCTAGACTTGGGGCTCAGGCAGCTGAAAGCATGACCATTGCTGGTGGAGCAGTGACATTTGAGGATGCACAGAAGACCTGCATTGGAGGAGTGCAGAGGGCTAAAGGGTCTTAAATATGGGAAAGGACAAGGTATGGACACATTGAATGTAAGGCAGAAATTTTAACATTGAGGCATTCCTGGATTGTAGATCAGCAGGCACAGGAGTATTGGCTGCAGTGCAGTGATTTTTGGATGGTCACTTACACTTCTGTTTTGTAAAATGCACATTTTTATTTCTTACAACCTACTGGGCATGTATTCTGCCAGTAATTGGAATGGATCGGATTTGAGGTGATTGAAATGAACCAGAGGTGACAAGTGGAAAAAATTATGCAGTTCAGTGGTTAGGATTTGCATCAAATGGCCTGATGGTAAGGTGGGTGGATACAGACTCAATTATAGGCTTTAATTGGATAAATAATTGATGAAGAAATGTTTGCAGGTTTATGGGAAAGAACAAGACAGCAGATTTAAGTGGAATGCTCTTTGAATGTGTTTGTAGACTTGATTCAGAAATTTTACAGCGGGAGCCTATTCGATGATGCTTGATTGGTGCTGTAAATTGGTTTTGGGGATCCACTGTAACAACAACTTCTAGTACTTCTGTATTTTACATTTATGTTGGAACTTTCCCATTTGCAAAGGAGACTCCTTACCCACTCTCTTCTGCAACTTTTATGTCTGTGATCAGCTGGGCCAGGGAACATTGGTCCAAGTATCCCCTTCACTTGTAAAACGCCGCAAGACTCATTTTCATAACCTGCCCTGTGGAGCTGCCATCATCCTTGGGAATAATGGCTACATCTGGATTTATCCAATTACTGAACAGAAGGACGATGAAGCAGGAGGATTTGTGACTAACTTGGAGGTAAGGAACCAAGCTAATGCTAAAGGGTTGGGGATGAGAGTTGATAGTATGCTAATTAGAGTTTGGAAGATTGAGAATCTTTGTTGAAACTTAAGAGGGGACTTAACGCAGTCGATAGTGAAAGGACATTTCCCCTTGTGGGGAAAAATAACTAGAACCAGGGGACACAGATAAACATAAGAGGCATTCAACACTGAAATTACTAGAATTTGTTTTCTTCAGAGGATGATGGCCTGTGGAATTCTTCTCCCCAGAGAGTGGTAGAGGCAGGGTTCTAGAACTACCTGATTACTGTTTAAATCAGGGTTGCCCATTTAAGACATTTTTTTTTTGAGGGTTGCGAGACTTTGGAATTCTTGAAGTATTTTTTTTTAAAGCCAGATCCTTAGCAAACAAGGGCTTTGAAAAGTTTTTGGGGTTATGATCAGATTAGCTATGATCTTGTTAAATGATGGCGCATGGTTAAGGGGTCAAGTGGTTTTCTCCTACTCCTAGTTTGTACATTTGTATGTCCCACAATAGTAATGTCAGTGTTCCTCCTTTTGTTTCCGATCAAGCCAGTTCCTGTAACAGACAGAGAGGTGATCTCACGACTCCGCAACTGCATCATTGCCCTGAATATTCACAAGATGTTGCTGTATGATACCAGTGTTCTGTATTGCTATGAAGCTTCAATGCATCAACAGGTAACATTTCTGAAATGGAGTAGCAATGAAGGATCTAAAATTTTAAAACAAATTTTTGCACTTCTTTCTTGATTGGAGAAAGTTAAGTCTAATTTCTGTATATCAATTAGCAATTTTCAACCTTTCTGGCTTTTAAGTTACTGAGTACTGTTCGAAGACTCAATATCCTTACTTCAAATGTTATTTTAAACAATATTGTGAACCTATTTGCTACTTTAACAGCAGCATTTGTAGTAAAGGGGGATGGATACATATAGACATGGTCAGTGTAATTCATAGATTGGCATTATGCACAAATTTATTCCCTGATAGAGCAGTTACTGTCTGCCTTTCTGTGCCTGTTGTAAATGCGCAGCATGTCTGTCAGTAGTTGTCGAGGGAATACATCTTGAAGGTTCCTGAGTCAGGAGTGCCATAGACCTTTTGAAGCCCTGTTTCCTCTCAGTGCCAGGGGGGTTTGATTGCAGCCTTGGGTGACTCTGCGTGGAGTTTGCATGTTTTCCCCATGTCTGCGTGGGGTTTCCTCCAGTTTCCTCCCACATTCTAAAGATATGCAGGTTAGCCTTGGGTTTAAAAAAAAAATCACCCACGTGGGGTTATAGGGATGGGGTGGAGGGGTTTGAGCTTGTGTAGTATGCTCTTCAGAGGGTCAGTGTGGGCTTACTAGGCCAAATGGCCGCTTTCTGCACTGTAGAATCATAGAATCCCTATGTAACTGCTTTATTACATGTCAGTAACATGCTTATTTTTTTGAGCTGCCTTTGTAAAGCATAGTAGAAGTCTTTGCTTGATCAGGTGTATCCAGTTCCCTAAAGATTGAGCATTCTTATCTTGTGTTTATTTGCTCCGAGCAAAATTTTTTTCTTCCCATTCCTAGTGACTGCTTCAGTGGTAAAAATCCTAAAAGCAGGTAAAGATTAGTTTGGTATGTTTAAAGTCTGTATGCCCATGTTGTTTTTGATCTTATTACAGATCAAAGATATTCTGAAGCCGGAAATAATGGAAGAAATAGTGATGGAGACAAGACAACGTTTAATTGATCAGGAAGGATAAGGAAAAGACTTTTTTTTAACTAATATTTTGAATAAAATTTTACAATAATCTGGCTTTGTCTATGAATCATGATATGTGACCCTTTTCTAATGAGTCAACAACATTTTTCATTTAAATTATGACTTTAATGTAGTAATGTCCTAAGGTGCTTCACGGGAGCTTTAGCAAAATATATTGATGCCAGCCACAAAGGGATACAAGATGAGTGGCCAAACCCTCAGCCAGAGGCAGATTTTAAAAACAATCTTGAAAGAGGAGAGGCTTAGTGAGTTACTACTGTGCCTTTTGTAGATGGTACACGCTGCTGCCACTGTGTGGTGAAGCGAGTGACTGGGATGCCAATCAAGCAGGCTCTCCCTTTTTTATGTATCCTACCCTGCTGAATCTTTTGAGCTCATTTTTTTCCATAAGAATAACATGTTTAACCCTCACCCCAGCCATCTCAATCTTTCCCTCTTAGTGTTCGGGCTAAATAAAAATGTAAATAGTTTGGTTTCAAAAATCGCATCTCAGTACATCCTCTCCCAAAATAAAATATATTCCAAACCCCTTGAAAGCAGATCAAAGACCATCGTAAGTGTGCCGGGGTTATGTATTGTTGTTATTAACACAGTTCTCATTGACAGAAGTCTCCAGTTCTGTGTGCTTGTTGGAGAGGTAGGAACAAAGGGCTGAAGAAGGCAGTTGGTCAATGAAATGACTAGTTGTTTTTCCACTCCAAGATGATCCTGGAGTACTGGCTGGTTTAGAAGAGAGTAAGGTTCAGTGATGTTTAAGATGGTCAAACTTGACACTTGGTGTGTAACTGCTGTAAGTTTTTAGTGAAGATGGAGGCTATATCAGGAGAATTGGCAGGATCTGAGAGTGAGGGTTTTACTGAAGTCAGGAACATCAATAGGTGGGCATGGCTGAAGGATCGGCAACTGCAGAAGTACCATGACACTATTCTAGTAGGAGCCTGAAAGTGCAGTTGTGACTTGGGAAAGAGTTATTCCTGAAGCAGACTTTGGGGCAATGGCAGTGAGGGATGAAAGGAAGTGACTTTGCCAGAGAAAGGGGCCCCTAGCAATGGCCAGCTTAAGGACCTCACTTGCTATTTCAACAAGTCTGATAGTGAAGCTCCATACTAATAGCAATGACAAAATGGAGTCAATGTTAGACCATCATCTATGTAATTCTGCATGGGTAATATACAGACCAGGTACAGTCTCCATACGTCTGGTATAGTAAGGGAGACTGCATTTGGACTAGTAATTGACTTCCCTGCATGATCTTTTGCAAATAACAATTTTGTTGTCCCTTCCTCTTTTTCCATTCCCTAAAAGCAATGAGCAATTATTTTGTGCTAATGAGGCACAATGTGAATAGTTCCACGTAATACAGAACAAGCAGCAAAATGAGATATTGTATTTGCGTTAGGGCTAACGTTGGCTGCTCTACACTTCTTATTGCTGTCCTCCAGGCAATGGGTTACAAACATTCCTTAATGTGTTAAATTCTGATTATTGCTTCACCAATTGCTCACACTGGTGTCATGTAAGCATCAGCACAAACTATTTCTGCTGAAGGAAATTTCATAACTTCTGACATTTATTTAACCTTCTAGAGACTGAAGTTCGTGCCTGGCTTAATGTTTAAAAGATGAAATCCTACATATGTAATTCAAAAAGTGAATATAAATCACGAACAGAATACAGTAATGATTGGAATCATGCAGGAGGAGACCAGTCTTTTCTGCCTCAGACAACATTTTGAAAGAACTATCTAATTAGTCCCACTTCCCTGTAAGTAATTTTTATTCGTTCATGGGATGTGGGAATTGACAGCGATTATTACTTTCTCCAGAATAATGAGGAATGGGTAAGGTTGAGCAGCCTTCTTAAACCACTGCAATCTTTAGGATGAAGGGACAGCCACAGGGCTGTTGGAGGGAATACCATGATTGTTGCCATGTGATAATGAAGGAGTGGTCACATTCTTCCAAGTAAAGATGGGAACTTGTAGATGTGGCATTACCCAAGTATCTGTGCTGTGGACTTCTAGAGGGTTGCAAGTTAGGAACGTGCCATCAGAGGATCCTTAATGAGTTACTGTAGTGCATGTTGTAGGGGATACAGGCTGCATCAGCAGTGAATGTTGGATGTAGTGCCAGTCAAGCAGGCTGCTTTGTAATGGATGGTATACAGCTGCTCAAGTGTTGTTAGAGCTGTACTCAACCAATTATCATGCTCCTAACTTGTTGGGAGGTGGTAAAATACTTGCTGCAGAATTCCTAGCAAAAATCTGCTTTTGTAGCCACAGTATTTATTAATTTGGCTAGTTTGGTTCAGTTTCTGCTTAATGCTAAGCTTCAGGATGTTCATGGTGGGGAGATGTAGTGGTGGCAAGTGTTGAATAGTTTGACTCTTTTATTGAAGACGGTCATTGCCTGACACTTGGTTGTGTGACTATTACAAGCCATTTACCAGCCCAAGGTTAGATATTGTTCCAATCTTGCAATACCTGGAAAAGGACTGCTTCAGTAGCTGAGGTCCTGTAAATTGTATAATCATCAGTGAACATTACCATTTCCTACTTTGTGATAGAGGGATGGGCACTGATAGAGGTGGAGTGATGGCCAGGAGCTGAGCGAATGACCAACAACCACGACTATCTTTTGTGCCAGATACAACTCCTACCAGGGGAGACTGCTGCCCCCAATTCCCATTGCATCCAGTTTTTCTAGGACTCCTTGATGCAAAATGCTACCCAAGGGCAGTCACTCTCACCTTATCTTTACAGTACAGCTCTTTTGTCCATGATTGGACCAAGGGTATAATGAGGTCAGAAGTGAAGTCTCACTGGTGAAAGCCAAACTGAGCAATGAGTAGGTTATTTGCTTTGATAGTGCAATCAAATAGGCACTTCCATGACCCATTCCCTCGTGTTGATGAGCAAGAATGCACCAATGGGATGGTAATTGGCCAGCTTGGATTTGTCCTTCTTGTGCACAGGACATAACCTGGGCAATTTTCTACTTTGCCAATGAGATGCCAGTGTTGTAGCTATACTAAAATAGCTTGACTAGGGACACAGCTAGTTCTGAAGTACAAGTCTTCTAATACTATTGCTAAAATGTTGTGAGGGCCCCTATCCTTTGCAGTACCTCGTGCCTCCAGCTACTGCCTGTTACCACAGTGAAGCAGATCATTTGAAGGTTGGCATTTGTGATGCTGATTACCACCTGTGATGGATCATCTACTTGGCACTTCTGGCTGAAGATGGATGCAAAACTTCAGACTTGTCTTTTGCACTAATGTGCCAGGTCTCTCCTCTCTTTCCTCCCACCCAAAAAAATGAGGATTGGGTTATTTGTGACACTGACAGTGCCTGTGAGTTGTTTAAATGTTCTCCAGCATGTAGCAGAATGGCAGAATTTAGGTTTGTGGGAGATTAGACAGGGAGCTTTCAAATCTTCAGGTTGTGTCAGCTGCAGCAGTTTCTCCATGGCAAACAGTTCAATACTCCAACTCTGGTTCCACCCACAGAGACTGACCATCTTTTCTTGAGACCTCAATTACCATTCAATATCTGCCTCTGCTTGAATGTAGGTCCTCTTTCAGACATGCCAAAACCAATTCCCATATACTGACTTTGTAAAAGCCAAGCTCTGTTCTCTAGTTTAAACAATGCTCTTCTCCAGTTTGCTGTGTCTGTAGGAACCTTTTGATCAAGAATCAGTCTGCAATTAACCTCCAGGCCTGGTTTCACAAACAAACTAAAGCTTCTTCAGTCAGTTGTTTTCCTTTTACCACAAGCTGTTTCACAAAATCCACAAGTCATCTAAGCTCTCAATTCCCAGTTCACAGCTTCAAACCAAAATTGATAAAATAGAGTCATACAGCACAGAAACAGATCCTTCAGTCCAATTTGTCCATGCCGACCAAGTTTCCCAAACTAAACTAGTCCCACTTGCCTACATTTGGCCCATATTCCTCTAAATCTTTCCTATTCATCCACTTATCCAAAATGTCTTTTAGATGTTGTAACTGTACCTGCATCTACCACTTCCTCTGGCAGTTCATTTCACAGATGAAACACCCTGTGAAAAAAGTTGCCCCTCAGGTCCCTTTTAAATCTTTCTCCTCTCACCTTAAAGATATGCCCCCTAGTTTAGAACTCCCCCACCCTAGGGGAAAGACCTTTGCCATTCACCTCAATCATGCCCCTCATGATTTTATTCACTGGAGTGTAGGAGGTTGAGGGGTGACCTTATTCAGGTTTATAAAATCCCAATCTAACCAGCCTCTCCTAACTCAAACCCTCCAATCCCAGCAACATCCTGGTAAGTCTTTTCTGAATCTCCAAATTTAATAATATCCTTCCCACAGTAGGGCAACTGGAGCTGTACACTATACTCCAAAAGTGTCCTCACCAAAGTCCAGTACAAGCACAACATGATGTCCCATCTCCTATACTCAGTGATCTGAGCAATGAAGGCAAGTGTGCTAAATGCCTGCTTAACCACCCTGTCTACTTGTGATGCAACTTTCAAAGAACTATTACCTGAATCTCTCTGGTCGACATCACTGCCGAGGGCCCTACCATTAACTGTACAAGTCCTGCCCCTGTTTGTTTTACCAAAATAGCAATATCTCACACTTATCCATTTAAACTCCATCTTCCACTCCTCAGTCCATTGACCTATTTGACCAAGATCCCTTTGTAATTTTGAATAACCTTCTTTACGGTCAACTATACAATTTTGGTGTCATCCACAAACTTACTAACCATGCTTCATAAATTCTCATCCAAATAATTTATATAAATGACAGACAAAAGCGGACCCAGCACTAATTCCTGTGGAACACTGCTGGTCACAGGCCGCCAGTCTGAAATACAACCTTCCACCACCATCCTCTGTCTCCTACTATCAAGACAATTTTGTATCCAACTGGCAACCTCACCCTAATCTAACATATGATCTAACTTTACTAATCAGTCCACCATGTGGAACCTTGTCAAAGGGTTTACTAAAGTCCATGTAGACAACATCTACTGCTCTGCCCTC